AGTGGGGTCCGGAAACGTCTAAACACCAATGTTTTTAAAACTAGGCTTTGGTCTCTACCATTCACCCTATACCCCAATATTCCACCTATGCATATCACTCATTCAAGAGCGTGGATACTTCTGTACAAGCTGATCTGTTCCGCTACAGATACAGCTTTTTGCATCAGGAGAATCATACGTCTGATATATATATATATTTTATTTATATATGTATATATATGTATATATATACATAGTGTACAGGATAGCCCAGAAGGTTATGTAACTTCATGCCAATTACAAGGTGTTAGGTGCCTTGGCGTGGACTCTCTGTGTACTCTGAATCTGATCCTACTTGCACATTTCCTATTTGGCTTCGTATTACTATACTCCCAAACAACTCACATTTGATTGCGAAAATTCTTAAGCAATCAACCGAGGGCTTTGTCATGGCGCTTACATAAATTGAGGAGGGACAGTTTAATGTACCATTCTACCCGTGTGGTTATGTCTTATCCAGAATATGAGCACAATATCGCACTCCAACCAGGGGATTAGTATGAAAGCATTTCGGTGACAAAGCAATGGCTCAACAGCAGCAGCGAAAAGTGCCACTCTAAGCTCCATGGAATCAGAGTCTACTGTAATAACTAAGTACCAACTTCAGTTTGTGAACTTTAGCATTGTCTGAATGGCAACCATTTGATGATGCTTCAAATAATCAGAGTTCAGTGATAATCCGAATGAGTCAATTGGTAAAGTGCTTTATACTCTAACATGACGTGTCCGTTCTACCCTGCTAACATTTGGCTTCAGTTTTTCTATCAACCAACTGTCTCCGGAGAGAAACATGTTGGATTCTTCAAACTAAAAACATGCAACAACTTCGGTGAAATTTTGGTCAAATGCTCCGGTCGATCCATGGGTATGTCCAGTTAATGCAGTATTATCACTCATAAATAATGTACTCGAAAGTAAGAGATTGTCAATGGGCAACATAATTTACTCTATTCAGTTTATGAACTTACTCTTCCAGGAATAAAAGCAAATAGACATGTGCTTAGTATAAAACTACTCACCAGCAAACTGACACTTTATATCGTTCAGTCAGCAAAGAGAATCATTATCGATGTTCACTATACTCCATTCAGATAGGGAAAACAGGAGTACGTCTATCCCATCTTTCATAAAGAGATGGCAGTAGTGTATGCGGTAGCAACTGACAGATGAGCGGAGATGTCGCAAACACCCCTTTTATTGGCTCAGCAGTCCATCAGCTTATGCGACTGCAAAAAGGGCAAATTGTCTAACTCCAGGCATTGTACCGAATTACGGTTCTCTGCTTGAAAACGGGACACAAGCGAATACCGGCGAACTTCTTTCATGGGAACCATTGAGCGAAAATGTGAATTAGTTTAAACGCTCCTAAATACCCAACATTTTGGTCACCCAAATGTTACTTGTGAGCAGAGGCGTACCACAGAGGGAACCGGGGGCGGCTTGTGACGGCACGGCATTTTTAGTACCGATGGTTATGCGATGCAAAATATACACAGTGAAATTTCCAGAAAAGCTGGGAGTTGAGTATTTTAACGTTACTCAGTATGACCAAAAACACATTTGTGTCATCCGCCACATCTGTGCGAACGTTCTTCCCAGCGATCCCCATACTTGTCGAATTGTGGCCGCGTTTATCACACTCACCTCAGTGTTCCAAATGATTAGCCATTTCACGGAAAACCAGTGTGCACTTTACCCTGAGCTGATTTTGCGGGTTTACGGATTTACAACTGCAAAGGGGGGAGGAGAAATTTTGCCACCGTCCCTGGCGACAAATGCAGTTGTTCCAGCACTACTTCTGAGTCGTTATATTTCTCAGTAGAAAATATCAGCCATAAGTTTGATTATCTGCAACAGTTAAATGAAGAACATGATAACTACTTAGTGGATTTCCGAGTCCGTTATCCCCAAGTGCACGTGGCGAATGGCATAGGCTCACAATGATCGAGGTCTAGAATGTGTGAGACAAGCACTCTGCTCAGACTCAGAATTTTATGAATACAAAGGGTTACGTGTCATCATGTTATAATGTGGCTCATAAAATGCCTTCTCCAATTCGGTCAATTTGAACAGATTCTTCTTCCACAGATCACATTTTGTCACACAGTCTTGATGCATGATCGAAACTGAGTATACGGTGTCTTTATTTGCGATACAATTTATTAGTTTGAATTTACGTGGCGGCTGAACCTGTCGCTGAGCACGGCAATTTTGTTGCAAACGTTTACTCATCAAGTGAGGTAACAACATCAGGGCCTTGTTAAGTAGGGTGTAGTATTGGAGGGTTACGTAGGGAAGCCTCGGTGAAAGGCTTCCCCCATTTGAACAAACTGGGCTGCCGATTTTCATTTTTTTATTATGGATTCGTCAGTTGTGCTCGGTGGTTACTCCACAGTCGCGAGTACACTGACTGTTTAAGTACCGTTTAATTTTCATAATCTGTGATTGGAACCTCCGATGAAGGAGATGGGATGCAAGAACTCAGAAACTTATCGATCACGCCATCAAGCAATTTTGGAAATATTTATTATCTTGATAATAACTGCGGGCAGTTCTACGGATCATGCGTTGTCATACATGAGTATTTGTGTTCTTCCTGCCTCAATTTACATCTAACCATAGATAAGGTTCTGTTTTCGGCTTATCTTTTAGATGCCAATGTCAGATTATCCACATTAGAATTAGTCTTCGATGCTACAGCCTCCGGCCGCGTCACACAGAAGTCATTTCACGTTGTGAACCAATGCGAGCTTCCTGTGACCTATGAAATCATTTGTGGTCCAGTCTACTGTAAAACTGCAAAAACGCAAACCTGTTCCACCGCATTTCCCATTTTGGACGGCGCAGTGAATGGAGTAGTGGACAAGGGACAGCGTGTTAGGGTGGTTATAGGATTTGCACCCAACTTCCCAGGTCACTATTTCCGCCGGATAGCGTTGCTGGTCTCCGGTCAGGTAAAATAGCTAAAGACTACTTGGACGCATTTTTGAAATAGGTTCCTTCACGTTAGACTTGTGACATTCCTTTAGATGCTTACGATAAATACCAAAAAGTTTTCAGTTAAGTTGCAATAATGTTGAACGTGAAGTTTATAAGAGCACTTTAGGAAGTGCACCTGAGGATCTATGTGTGCATCCTGAACACAGTATGGATTAGAAGGGATTGGATCATGTGCATGCTTAAGTTTTAGCTATTAAATTGTTTTGTTCATCTACGAAGAAACCTAATGACCGCAGCACCATTCACAGGAAGCTTGAAATGCTCTGTATCACTGTAACACCTTTCTTGCATATGACCATCTTGGGTGGAATGAGTCTCACCCATATGCCGAGTGGCATGCCACTGCTTGTGCTGCTTACGGATGTAGTGTCACTGCATCACAATCTATAAGCTAAAATACGCATTTAGAGTAGCATTAGCCTGGTTGATGCATACACGCCGTGTGGAACACAGTTTCATGAAATTTCTTCGCTTTATTTAGGAGCCGCAGTTTTTAAACCTTCACGGTTCTTGCCACAGCGGTGACCATCAACCGCACGAGATAGCGTTACCAAATCAACGAAACGACGGGTCAATGCTGGCTACGAATGAACAGCTGCAGACAGGCGAAGCTAACTCACGCTGTGACTATGTAAGTTACGCGAACTAGGTGTATTGTCACAAACTGCCTGAGTTTTCACATGACATGAACCAATTTAGCTTAATTCCAGTTACTGTGGGCCATCAGTGAGCATATTTACGCTAGAGGAATAATTATCTCGGACTGAACTGTTATTGCGAACATTCAGTGGCAAACTCTTCCTTAAGAGATAAGCGCAACAATACGGTAGTGATAAGAAGGAACTGATACTCGTTTAGGCGAGTTCAGTTGATGGGCCAGAGGTTTCCTTTGATTGGCTATTCCACAGGGCGGATTATTGCCGGTTAGAAGTCTCCAGAAACATGGCTGGTCAAACTTGAAATCTGTGACCTAAAGGCTGTATCATGTATAAAATGCAGACTACCCTCTGCCTTAACTTGGAGTACGCGGATACTGTGAGCAATAGGTCATCACCTATTTGGTGCTTTTAGCATACAGTACATCTGCCACCATTTTCAACCACTAGGTTACTCTGCTTATTCAGGGCTACCACTAGGACATCGGATCATGGCAACCCCTATCCACAGTGGAACTCAGGAATGCAATATTAAATATGACACTGAACTGTTGCGATGTTGAAACCGCTTCATTCGCTGTAATCCAAGGTGCCATTTGACGGGAGGATTCTCAAGTTTCGACAGGTCTTATTCTCATTCTATTCACTTCTTACTAGACCCAATCAAGTATGGTCCCAGTTAATGTTGGAGATCAGTCTCCAAAGTTGCAAAATAGAACAAATGATGTTGACCTCCCTGACTTAGTAAAAGTGGTCAGATAAATAACTACAGTGTGTTACTTAAATGCCGTGTCTTCATTTCTACACACCTGACATCACCTTTGGACGGTCATAGCACATTGCTGACCCTGTAAAATTTGTCTGCCATTTCTAAATCGAGCGAGTAATGATGCGTGACCGCAGATGAGTGGAACTAACAATTCATCAGCATGGTACCTGGTTTTAGCGTGTCGCGTACTTCGGTGATTTATTAAGGTTACACTGAAATGTAAGTTATCAGTGCTGCCGAAACCGGTCATACTCATCAATCACTAGATGGAGGATGAGAGACTAGCTGCGACATCTTCCCCATATGAAGTAAGGTAGAAGGGATGCTCCTCTTTACCTAAGACTCGCCTGTAGTAAACAGCTTTCCATGTTTCTGTGAAAAGTACCTACTGCTTGATTTAATCAGATAGCTGAAAGACATCCGAAACAAGGTGAACCCGTTTGATTCCTTTCAGACACGATAACAGATGTCTCTACACGAATCATGCTTGGTTCGAATCCATCGCTTTCCTCCTACGAGTCTTGTGTTTTAGAACCCCAAACCATGGGTAGCTCTGGCTGGTCATCGACTGGTGTGTAATTTGCGGTAAACTGACACAGAACACCAGGTTGTTAAAGTGTTACTTACAGTAAGGGCGGCACTTATTCTACTCAGTAGTCTGCTACCTCTAACTGCTAACCAATGAGACCCTGGCAGACAATCAGCTGATTAGCAACCAAAGTCTACCTCACGTTGCTCGTGATCGCGGTTTCATAGAGATAAGATATAGGATACGTGCGTGGATTGATGCAGACCTTTTAAGGTTGTGTGTGGACAGTTCGGAAATGATCTTCGCAGTACTAGTTAACCACACTCCAAAACCTGACTAACTTTCATTGAGCTTTAGGGCTGGCTAAGTTCGGTTTGCAGTGGTGGTTCCTTGCAGTCCCCTACCAGCCAGCAGGCTTCGGAACCACTGGAAAGGCACCAGACAGCTGGTTTGACCTTCTGGAGCTCCTCAATGGTGCGGATTCCTCGTACCCCGCCGGGTTCCGACCCCACGACTTCCGAATGCCAGCAGCTTGTGCTACTAAGCCATGGGTGACAGCTGCGCACTTGCATGACTGATAGTTGACTACGATATGGTCCGCTTATTCTGAACTGCCGCGCCAGTTACTATGAACCGGACTATATGATTGTCAACTCAGGTATGCAGGTACGCATAGTTGCACAAGCTGTTGGCATCCGGAGGTAATGGGGTCGGAACCCGGCGGGGGTATTAGGAAGACGCACCCCTGACGCAACTCGGAAAATGGAACTAGCTGTCTGGCACTTTTCCAGTCCTGCCGAAGCCTGTTAACTAAGGGGACTGAGACGAACTATCTCTACAATTATACCGAAATCCCCACTACTCATTAGTGCCTTCAGATTAAGTAGCAGTACTTAAGCACACTTCAGTTTAGATCGCCATTTCCGAGATTGACGACTATAACAAACGCTCTAGGTGTCAAAAGGAACAAATTTTCTCCTTCTGAGCAGGTCGTCGGAGAACATCATCAGTCTACAAAACTTAATCGTTAGTGCTCATTGATCTTCATGTTTCTATTGCGGTTCGCGCCTGTTGGTCTCGGTCTAACTGAACCTAAACAATCCTGACTTCGTAAGGAGCCGCCCGTGGTCTTGAGGCATCGTTAATACATTGATGACATTAAACAGAGGACATTAAAGTTGTGCCTCCGTGTCAAGCCGATAAACCTACATCAACCTTCCCACAGAACAACCGTGAATTTTTTTCGAGCCCACACGCACACATGCGCACACACACACAAGCGAACGCACATACACACAGCAAAGCATTTTCGCAACGGGTTTCTCCATACTCGGCTGAGATCTTATACTTGATCTACGGATCCTGAGGTTGTTGCCTACTTTCCTTATGTTTGGGTAACTATCTTATGCATCCAAAAGCTCTGTCGAAAATGATCGGTTTCGCCAGTCATCATGTGCGTGCAGTGTAGCTAACGAAAGTATTCGTTAGGCTTGGGTGACTTGAGGGAATATTGAGTTGAAGATAAGGTACTCTATAAAGAACCTCACACAGAATGGAGAGTTGCCACTGCATACCAAGCGGCAACGATAGCACAACAAAGGGCACATGTCATAAAAAGTGAAAGATCTCTTTTCGATAATTCTCCTCAGGCATTTACGATTATTAACAAAGATAAGCAGATAAAAATGATAAGAATGACGTAATCAGGTCCAAGGCAACCGAATTGCTTGTCTCAACTGTTTCTGGGCACAGAGCACGGGACACTTCTACCTTATCAGTAGCGCCTCACCGATTGCCAACAACCTCGGGTTCCTGTTGCGCAATAACACCTTGAATGAATCGATTGGGTTCACCTGGTGACGAGTCGTCATGAGGTGTTTGGTGATAGACGACGCAGGGTTCCGGTCAATTCTTTGGTCCGCTCCGCCTTGGTTAAACAGCAACTGCCTTAGCCACATTGGGAAGTGTTCCGCCATCCTTTGAGCTAGCCGCCGACCAGTGTTGCCTATGTAAGTGTCACCGCAACTGCAAGTGAACTGATAGATGATGTTAGAGGCCGAGCTGATTGGTAAGCTACTCGGCCGGCTCTGGAGAGGAATCCTTCGTGTAGTGTGGATAAGTCGTAGTTGTGCGGTAGAGTAGGTGCGCGTTAGAGCGGACCTGAGCTTGTGAGCAACTTCATTTGCCACGTGATCCCCCTTGAACGGTAAGAACAAATAAACATCCTTCTTCTCCGCTGTTTGTACCGTGAGTTTCTCCTTCGGGGGTCTGCTATGAATCTGAATGAATTTTTCCGGATACCCATTGCCTTAATGAAGTGGTTGAAGGGGACTCAATGTTTCAAGTTTCTTAAAAGAAGACTCCCCGCTGACGTTATGAGGTCATTGGATCGATTGTTGTCGTTGCGTTGCAAGATCACGGTGGAACGCGTACGGGTTAAATTTTATCAAGAATGTATCCAGTCAGGTCGATTTCCATCTCGATTTGTTAAAACTCTGTCGAAAAGTAAGCTGCCCGCTAACAGTGTGAATCTAGCCAGGATTGCGTCCGCACATATGGATGCTTGCATTGAACGAGAGCATAAGTTCCTGGAGACACAAAAGCGATTCGCGGTTGTTTTGAATGGATTGTCTCTGGTTTGCCGTTTCAAATTTGAGGCGTTTTCTGCTGAAACTCTCCAGCGTACTAGGACCAAGACACTGCGCAGCCTTCAAGGTACAATTGTCAGAGCAGCCAACATTCCTTTCCCTACCGAGGGCCAGAAGCATGTGTACAATCTGTCAACAGCTCGGTTCACGCGAGAAATAGTTGGAAGTGCTTTCGCTGGGATTAAAATATCGAATACCACCGAAGAAGATGGAGAGGCTCAACATGCAGATTAATTTCGAATATCTTTACGATCAACTCAGTGACCTTTCGCCAAAATCAACGGATGATGCAGGATGGTTTCGGGCAAAATTAGTGGATATCTCGCACCAGTTCCTGAATGCGCCTATTAGTCAGAGGTGTTGCTTCAAGTCCGAACACTATGTTGCAATCAAGGAGCTGCAGAAAATGAAGGACGTAGTTTTCCTGCAACCGGATAAAGGCACGGGTGTGGTAATAATGGACAAAGCTGATTACACCGCAAAAATGGAGTCCATTCTCGGAGATAGGCGCAAGTTTCGTATTGACAAGACGCTTGACAACAATATATTGGTGGAGAAACAAGTTGCAAGGCATCTACAAATTCTTTTGCCTCATGGTTATATCTCCGAGGCATAATATCGACAGCTAAAACCGACAGGGACGGAAACACCAAGGATGAGGGGTGCGCCGAAGTTGCACAAGGCGGGAATTCCACTACGTCCAATAATGTGTATGAATAACTCACCCTACCACAAAGTAGCTCGGTGGTTGGCAAAGCTATTAGAACCCGTGCGCAAGCTCCTGAGCACGCATTGTTTGAAAGACTCCTTTGAATTGGCGAATATGCTGGAACAAACTACACTCGACGCGGAGCTCATGTATTCCATAGACGTGGAATCACTTTTCACGAATGTGCCCCTACGTGAAACGGTCGACGACCTATGCCGATTTCTTTTGAGTCAGAACCTCTCGGTGGGCCTTCCTCTGGAGTTCCTGCGAGACTTGATATTACTGTGCACTGAGAATGTTCGTTTCCAGTTTGAAGGGACGGCCTACAAACAGATTGACGGCGTCGCCATGGGTAGTCCTTTGGGACCAGTTCTGGCAGATATCTTTTTGGGTATGATTGAAAGGAAAGCTGCTGCCTGCATTGGTGAAGCCAAGCTTTACAAGCGTTATGTAGATGATATTCTCGTTTTCACCAATGGGGAACATTTTGACCGTCTTTCTGCCCTCCTGAACTCAATTCATCCTAACATTTCTGTATCACAGGAGAGGGAAAAAGAGAACAGACTGCCGTTTCTGGACGTGCTCATCAAAAGAAGGACCGATGGCACACTGCAGCGCACTGTGTACAGAAAAGCGACCTGGGGGGGGACAATACCTGCATTTTTCTAACTTTGCCCCAGTCGCATACAAGCGCGGTCTCGTAGAAACTCTCTTCTACAGAGCCAGGCGGATTTGCAGTCCGGAATTGCTCAAGGCTGAAGAAGAGTTTTTATACCGGACTTTGCTAGCCAATGGGTACCCGGAAAAATTCATTCAGATTCATAGCAGACCCCCGAAGGAGAAACTCACGGTACAAACAGCGGAGAAGAAGGATGTTTATTTGTTCTTACCGTTCAAGGGGGATCACGTGGCAAATGAAGTTGCTCACAAGCTCAGGTCCGCTCTAACGCGCACCTACTCTACCGCACAACTACGACTTATCCACACTACACGAAGGATTCCTCTCCAGAGCCGGCCGAGTAGCTTACCAATCAGCTCGGCCTCTAACATCATCTATCAGTTCACTTGCAGTTGCGGTGACACTTACATAGGCAACACTGGTCGGCGGCTAGCTCAAAGGATGGCGGAACACTTCCCAATGTGGCTAAGGCAGTTGCTGTTTAACCAAGGCGGAGCGGACCAAAGAATTGACCGGAACCCTGCGTCGTCTATCACCAAACACCTCATGACGACTCGTCACCAGGTGAACCCAATCGATTCATTCAAGGTGTTATTGCGCAACAGGAACCCGAGGTTGTTGGCAATCGGTGAGGCGCTACTGATAAGGTAGAAGTGTCCCGTGCTCTGTGCCCAGAAACAGTTGAGACAAGCAATTCGGTTGCCTTGGACCTGATTACGTCATTCTTATCATTTAAGATCATGAGAAAAGTTGATACAACACCATAAGCTATCTAAAGCTGCAGTAATGAATGGTTATGTCACAGTTTAACGGAAGGTCAATGAGCCAATCGATAGATCAATCAATGCGATCAGGTAGTAAACATCATGCGCTTTCACACCCAAACAATAAAAGGCGAACTTAACAAAAAAGAAATGGTTGGTTTGGTGGCAAAGCTCCCAGTTAATCCTGGGCATAGGTAGGTACGGACGACGTCAATCGTTCCGGCCAAGGCAGCATGAGCGCTTGTACAAGCGTCCTCTGCTTGCATAACTCCGGTTGCAGCAGCGTAATAGCCATTGCTTCCGAAGTAGCCAACAGGCGCTTCCTGAGTCCTTTTGGGTTGCGTTTAGATATAGCGTAGAGAACTTTGAAAGCGTCATCGGTCCGAACATGATGTCCCGCACTAATCAGGTGTTCAAGGGCGGAGCTATGTGCATTCTTAGCTGTACCGTGCCGTAAAGAGGCGGGACAGTGTTCCGCTATCCGCTTAGACAGACCCCTGGTCGTGTCTCCGAGGTACCTGGCATCACAGGCGCAGGGGAAAAGATATACAACAAAAGATTCGGAAAGAGCCGGGAGTCTGTGTTTGAGGCTTCTAGTGATAAACGGAACAGTCTCATCAAGAAGATGGACTCTTGCAGCTGGGTATGTTTGGTTCACAGCGACGGTAAATCTTTTATTCAGTAACTCGTAGGTGATATCTATTTCGAAAGGAACCGAAATGATGACGCCGTTTTTCTTTACCGTTGGCGCTTCTTTAGGTTGATCAGAAACAGGTGGTTAGTTAATAAAGTGTCGAAACTTCGGATTCCTCATTTATCTTCACTTTTAGCAACCCCGAACCTCAATGGAAAGTGGAAGAACGAGGGCATTTGAACAGTATGTGGAACTCCGTGGACTGCATAACTCAGCTGTGAGTGATGCCATACTATGAGTTCTTATGAGTTATTTAATGACTATATTTATTCATTTCGTAGAATGTGATGTCAAGGTCAAGTGTTGACACCGGAAGCACCTGACGCACAGCTAAACGCTTCCTTGTTTATACCGTACTCCATATTCTAGTTTGTACAGTGCCTGTAATATTTGAAAGCCCAAGTTAGCTTTGCTCAAGAGAGGTCCTTTCAATGACTACCGAAGTACACTGTATGCAGCGTGATCGTCAAAGTGTCAACGATAATCCTATTCGGCGCATGAAGTCTGGTTGCAGTTATGGCTAAGATTGGAGCCAGAGTCAAAGCTATAGCGTGTGCAGGAAAAGAGGGAAGGAAGATTGGCTGATACTAGGACGAATAAACCTTAGGGTGATCAATTGAAGACAAGTAGGGGATACGTTGTAGTCTCGCTGCTCCCATGCGGAGCAGATCAACAGACACTCAGAGATCGCAATCTCCAAGATTATTCTGGCAGCACTTTGTGTTCGTATGGTGAAAAGTCGATGCTCTGAGACTCCCGAGACCAAAGCCATAAACGTGACCAACCAGGCAAGTGGACTAGCGTTAGCGGCCAGGCAAAGCTGATCTCAGGGAATTCGACGTTATCCGACAGAAGATGGGACTCAAGTCGAATAAAGTAGCACAATTACACCTAAGCCCAGCAAACATTACCTAGCCTGTTTGCCTTGGTCGAAGCGAATAAGTATCATGCTCAGGTTCAATTAGTATGAGAAGTATTTGTTAGTATGCGTTCTGGACCATTTCTACAATTTAGTGTGCTTTCCATTCCATTTAACGATCTGAAGGTATCAAGGTCGATCTGAGTTGTCGTGTCCGTTGGTTGTGGAACAGATTCCACTACCGTCAATTATTCAGTTCTACTAATTTCAGGTGTATCGGACCCCGTTAGGCGGTATAGAATGATATGCGATTGAACGATTAAGCAATGACCTATAACGGGTAAAAAACTAAATGCTTGACAAGTCCCGTAGAATAGTTTAAGTGATTTTCACTAAGTTTATCTCAGCGTCTTAGTCTAAGCACTGACCAGTCTAATTTTCGATGGCCCCACCGAAGTCTCGCCGTATCCGGCTACCTAAGCGTGGTGTAATTTCCACGCTACCAGCAAAGAGAATAAAACTCGGGGACCCAAAAGAAAAAGCGAATCGGTTACTCTCCAAATAATAAAATAATATTCGAACTGCAAGATAAATTGCTGCCGTTTGGATGACAAGTAACTGAGATGAAAACAGGCCGGCACTCTTTGAATCCTACGAAGATCATCTGATTTCGCTTGACTGCATCTAAACTATTGTGAAGGACTGCTCCTGTTCGGATGAGAAAACTGGGCAGCTAATTGCACCTGTTGCCCACGAATTGCACAAACGAATGAATAGAGCAAAAAGTTGATTGTTTTTTAACCTTCCTGACGGGTCAGGGCTGGATAAATTAAATTTAACGATACTAGAATCATGCAACAAGTCTGAGGTCAACTGCAAATGTCAACGTTTAACGTTTTTGTCCGATCATTTTCAACTTTTTTCTGTGAGAAGCCGGCAGCGAATTCTCCGTCCTTGACCTGTCCTAGCTCTGCATATCCAGTTTAATGAGGTTTTGATTAAACCAGATAGGATACCTCTACAAAGGTCCGCAATGAGCACTGTACCGCGAACACCGGAAAAATAACTAGACTCAGCGAAAAACTCAGACAAACTTTCAAAAGATCACTGTATCCAATGTGAATACCTGGTGCATCGACATAAATCTTGACAATTCATCTGAATGGTTAACTAGCTCCATTGTCATTCCTCCTCGCTCTAAGTAAATGTCTTCAGAGCAACTGACAGTTAAAGAGGGTTGTCCTCTCTTCCTGGCGGTGGTGCGCCCATTAAGCTGAATTCCTAATGCATAAGGATTAAAGGAAGGTCTAAGTGCTTGGAACAGTGAAGCACGGACAACACGTTGATAACGCCTTGGCTGTATTACAATCCAGTCTCAACAACCCAGGCACGTATAATGATATACAATCTGGTGCCGCCGACGGACGACTTAAGCAATCCAGGGACCAGTGTCTTTAAAATGTTTATGGCTACGATATACTCGGTTGCATCCTAAGTTCCCCATCGACCAGCCTTCTACAAACATCAGAGAAAACCACCTTCCCTGTTGAATAAGACTAATAACGACTGCTTCCTGCTTACTCCTGTTTATCATCCCACGATCCACAATGACAACTGAAAGCATACAGATAACGGAAAAACCTCGGCCAATGGGACAATGATACCCCTTACCCCTCTCCATATTCCCTCAATGTCTTACGCACCTTCTTCCAACAACCTTTTTAGTGGTGGCAGGAATGCTCTCGTACCAAATCCACCACAAAGCAGGTCAGGCATTTGATTTCACTCACCCACCATTTTGTTCAGATGACAAGGATAGTCAAATGCTTAGCCAACAGCAGTCTAAACATGGGGCCACGGCTCACTTCGTGTCCCCAGCGCTCTGGACAATCGCAAGGGATACGCTGTCCCCAACACCAAACTTTCTGATGGCTAACTTGAACGTACCACTCTCGAAATCACCTATCATATGCACCCTGCTGTGATCTAAATACTTAGGCGGTCGTGCAACAGACATAGGTAATTTCCCGCCGCACAGTGTGTTTTCAGTGATTCTGCCTATCGCCAGATCCATGATAAAAAATCTTCGCTTTTTAAACAAACTTTCACAGTTCAGTGACCCACAAGCAATCCTCGACACAGAAACAGGGTATTCCACCAATATACACTACTATGATTATTCCAATTTACCACCTATTTCGAAAAGATTGATTCACCATAAAAGATGGACAGTGTGTCATGTAAGTAAACAAAACATTCATAGCTGATGGTATGGGCCACTAACAACTGGAAAATGTCTCTGAATCCATCTGGCTGTCAGTTGCAGATGTCGCCTTCTACATGATCCTAGTATATATATTCAACCCACCGAATGCGTAGAAGGTGACTATCGCCAGCACCACTACTGCGTTTAACTTAGCATCAAAGTTGCCACACAGAGAAGATAATTGCCGGAGACTTCAACTTGCCACAAACCCTCCGTTCATTCCACTCATCGTCATTCTTGCACACCACTTTTCTTTCTTTAAACCCCTCCTTTGTGCCGCTCACTTCCCTACAACTAGAGGTTCTGTCATGTGGGTCGAACTTTTGTGTTCCACTTGCTAATACCAAAAGCATGGAAACCCAAGCTCAAATAGGGGCGTTTTACAAACGAATTGCCAGACTTACAACAACCAAAGATAACGAACAGTGGCTTAAGGCAAAACTTGTGGCACTTGAACCCCGGTACCGAATCTCCAGCTATGGTCATAGGTCTGCTTTCGAACCTAAACATGTAGAGGGCTTCAAACAACTCAGATCAGGACGAAAAGTGGTTGTCCTTCAAAAGAACAAATTTTTGGTTACTGTAATATTAAAAAAATCGGTTTAAATAGAAGAGATGACGGTAGTACCGAGCGACCGTACTAAGTTCGAACCCGGCTGCGCGGCTAACAATCGAATGGCCTTGGAGGAAAGTCTAAAGGCGGAGCTGCAAAGTTTGTTGGAAGGAAATTTCCTAAATGCTGCAAACGCAAAACCTTTAGGTCCAAGGGACACTTAGACGCCACAGTTTTATGGGTTGCTAAATTTGCACAAGGCGGAGCTAGCTATTAGACCGATTCTATCCATGAGCAACTCCAGACAGCGCAAGCTAAGTGGCTAGTAGCACTGCTGGAGCCAGTTAAGCGATCAATTTTTAAACATAGTTTACGATAGAGATTTGAATTAGCGGAAGTTCTACATGGTATCAAACTGCGCCGAAAATTCGTGACCATCATCGATATTATCTCCCTGTTTACCAATGTGAAGCTAAAAGAGACGATTCAGATTATCTGTAATCATGTAGTCGAGAACCAGCAGGAAATAGGCATAGCAGTCTCGGAATTAGAACGATTTCTTCTGTTATGTACATCAAATGTGAAGTTCTATTTTCAGTCAGAAGGCTATAGCCAAGTGGTTGTTATCGCAATGGACAGTCCGCTCGATCGTTGTTAGCAGAAATTTTCGTCGCCCATTTTTAGTAATAAGTCACGGAAGAGTGATGAGACACTCTTGTTCCTTAGACATATGGATGACATTTCGATACTCTGTAACAGCGAGTATCAGTTGGCCCAACTGATTACCAAGTTGAGTGAACTGCATCAAAACAATGGAATGACAACGGGGCGCGATCAGCATGATACCCTGCCGCTGCTTGACGTCCTATTAGAGCACAGGAGTGACAGTCCAATATGCAGATCAGTTCATCACAAGGCAAGGTGGAAAGGACAGTGCTTGAACAACCACAGCTTTGTCCCTAAGCGGTAAAAACAAGCTCTGGGGAAGACTACAACAGGGCTAGAAAAATATGCACTGCTGACGCGCTGGAACAAGAGTCGCGGCTGATAACCAGCATCCTCTTGGACAATGGGTACCCGCCGGGCCGGGAACAGATGGCAAGGTGACATGTATGTATGTGTGCACAGTTTGGTCAATTTGTCACGTTAGCTGGTCTTTTCATGACGCTTTAAATTCACACATTTTTAATACACACTTGAAAGTATGCAGAGAACCTTTTCCGTAATTATATCGGGCTAACATGTGTTCACTTTTCTGCTAAAGGCTTCTGCTGAAACTAGTGTTTTCTATTCAGAATAAGCTGCATACTTTGTGGAACGTCACAGAGTGTGGTGGTATCAGCAGCATAATATAAGTCGATCAGGTGCTCCCCCGCTGGAAGCTCGACCCCATAGTTTTGTAAACCTGTAGCTCTACAGGACGTCTTCAAGTTCGAAGATGGATAGGAAGCTGGACATAGTCAGCCACTTTGCACGGCACTATTTATAGCGAATGTCAAGGAAAGCTTGTCGTAGACGTTCACTATACTCGAGATATAAAGGGAAGATGCGCGTTGAACT